TTTTGGCGTAATGGTGGTAACAGTGAATCCATATTGATCTCCATATCTTATTAAGGCAACTGCCCTTGATAACTGGGCAATTGTCTAGTTATTCCCCAAATGTACTTACACATTCAGTTATGCTCAATAGAAAAATATGTTTGCAGAAGGTGAAAGTTTTATTCTTAAGATGGAGAAATGATGATCACGAAGAACAAACATCAATAGCCCCCCCCCCCAAAAAAAAAAAAAGAAAAAAAAAAAAAATATATATATATATGTGTGTGTGTGTGTGTGTGTGTGTGTGTGTGTGTGTGTGTGTGTGTGTGTGTGTGTGTGTGTGTGTGTATGCACAGTGAAACTTGTTCTTAAGAATGGAAACAAATTGACACGAAGATCAAACACATAAATACCTCAGTATAAAAGATTTAACCTATTCCAAATCTTTCTTGTCTTCACCTATTAGAAAGTTTGACGCAAATAAGAACCATTATGTGCTTACGTCGTCCAGTATCGTAATACGAGTGAGGGATCATCAGTTCCACATCAGTAACACATTAGACATGGACTGCTTCACATCAGCTGTTTTCTGATTTCAGTCAAGGGCCAGTCAGCGCCAATTCATTAGTTACAGTAATTAGGGATTGTATATAAGCTCGGTGGTTTGAGCTGCTTATGGTATCTTGCTATCTGTACGTATATGTTGATAGATAAATATGGAGATAGATGTATGTGCCTATACATAGTGAAATGGATAGGTGAATATAAACAGATGTAGATAGAAAGAGAGATAGACATAAATAGATAGATGGACAAATAGAGAGGTAGAGATATAAGCAGATAAATAGACAAAGAGGGAGATAGAGATATAAATCTCTCTCTCTCTCTCTCTCTCTCTCTCTCTCTCTCTCTCTCTCTCTCTCTCTCTCTCTCTCTCTCTCTCTCTCTCTCTCTCTCTCTCTCTCTACCTGTACAGATTATAATGCTTTTCGATACCGTAAAGTCAGGAGTGCCAAGCCGCTAAAGTCACTAGATGCATTATGTATGGCAGACAAGACTATAATACAATGAAATATAATTAATTACTTTACTGGCTCTGTTTACAGAATTCTCTTTCTCTCTCCATCTAGCTCTTTCTCTCCCACACGCAAGTGTGCGAGTGAGAGAGAGGCCTATATGTTTGTAGATATACATACAAGCTATGCATATATATGTGTATATATATATATATATATATATATATATATATATATATATATATATATATATACATTCATATTTATATATATATATATATATATATATATATATATATATATATATATACATATGCATTTGTGTATGTAAATGCATCTACACACAAACACGCGCTCGCGCGCATACACACAAATATATATACATAAATGTATATGTATATATATACCCCATCCGTTCACACACTCATACAAACACAATATATGTAGATATATGTGTGAGTTTGTGTGTACACACACAACTATATATATATATATATATATATATATATATATATATATATATATATATATATATATATATATTTATATGGTATTAAACATATATATACATATATATATATATATATATATATATATATATATATATATATATATACATATATATGTATATATAATTCGTATACATATATGACTATATATATATAAATATTTGTATGTATGTGTACTATATGTATGTGTGTATGTGTGAGTGTGAGTGTGTGTGCGAACGCATGTGCGGGTGTGTGTGTGTGGACATATTTACGCATACAGACACAGTATTTCTAAGGTTCCCTATAAAGAAGCATTATATGATCAATGAGTTTTTTCGAAACGCTATGGCAGATGTTTTTCTTAATGACTTAATACTCTTAATCAGTTAATCTTCATATATTTAATCCTTATGATTAAAAAAAAAAAAAAAAAAAAAAATATATATATATATATATATATATATATATATATATATATATATATATATATATATATATATTTCTTTTTTAATTCCGTATTTTTTTATTCGTAAATCGTATTTCTCAATCTGTATACATGCATTTATTATCTTTCTCTTTCTCCTTGTTCCTTGAAATATCCCCGTAACCATATCCACCAGAGCGAGGCGCGAGAGAGGGAGAGAGAGTCCGGGCCTGAGTATATAAAGGTCTGGGATCGTCTTCAGCGCCATCATTCCCTCCGCCGCCATGTCTCTCAAGGTAGGCTCGCGGACTAGCTCTCCTGATGCTGTGAAGTGACTCGTTATTTGAACAAGAGAAAGAAATAATGAACAGGAATAGTGCTTTCTATTTTGTTTATGAGTGCCAAAAGGGAAAGGAAAAAGGAAAATGTCTAGTAGATTTTTAAAAATGTAACCACGATTTTTTTTTCTTTCTTTCTTTTTTTTTTTTTTGGTTTGTTTTAATGATGAATTACTCCTAATTTTCAGGTTGCTGTCATCGCCTGCCTGGTTGTTGCGGCCATAGCTGATCAGTCCCCTTATCCCCCTCCACCTGCCCCCTACCACCCTCCACCACCGGCCTACCACAGCGAACCACATTACCCTGATGTGAGTACGATAGCCTGCTTCTCTTCTCTTTTCAGTGCATTGCATTTCATTACGAATAAGTTAACTCTCATAGTCTTATGATATATAATCATTCATCCTACTTGTTTCGCACTTATAAATCCAATCTCAAAGAGTTTAAGACTCTTTGATACAGTCCGTCTTTATATATAACGCTGACGACTTTTGCCTACAGGTTCCTCCCAAGTACGCCTACAACTACGGTATTTCCGACGACTACGGCGTCAACCTCGGCCACTCGGAGTCCCGCGACGGCTACAAGACCGAGGGCAGCTACACCGTCGACCTCCCCGACGGCCGCAAGCAGATCGTCAACTACGTGGACAACGGCGACGGTCTTGTAGCTGAGGTCACCTACGAGGGCGAGGCTCAGTACCCCGAGCACACGCCCTCCTACAAGCCCGCTCCCCCCGCCTACGCCCCTCCTCCCCCTGCGCCCTATGAATAATATGCATCCATTCTTTGTAAAAACAAAATCATTCACTCGCTCGTCTTCATCATCAAACATGTTTTCTATTGTTACATTATTCCACCAAAGATAATAAAGATAAGTTGAAATGACAAGGACCATTGTTATTCCAAATATATTCGGAAAATATTTCCCGTAACTTAATATTTACAGCGCATTAGTGCGTACATTTGTTTAAGTGTACAAATGGAGGTATGTATGTAGATACATGTAACATACGTATATGCATATGAATTTATATATATATGTTTATACTCGCTCTCTCTCACACACACATATATACATATATGTGTATGTGTAAGTACAATTACTGCATATCTTCCCCTCTTCAATAAGAAAGAGGATACTTAACGAAAACGCCAATACGCTCGAGTTCTCAGAAATCACGTATCATTTTTGTGTTATTTCAACTGCATGGAAATTCTCTGGTTCAGTGATACTATTAATAATGATAAAGATCATGGGAATTTTGGTAGCATTATGTATAGTGATAATAATGACAATGATGATAATAGTGAGAATGGTGATAAAAATTATGATAATGATTATACCAGTAATGATAATAATAAAGCAATAAAATTGATAATTGTAGTGATAATAATAGTAACATAAATAATTATATAGAATTATAATTATAATAAAAATGATGACCATTACCATAATGATAGAATAATAATGATAATAGTGGTAAAGAAAATAATAATGATAATGACAATAGTATTAGAAAGGATGATAATGGTAATCATAACGACAATGATAATAATAATGATAATGACGATAATCATATTAAAGGTCACAACAGTAATCACAATAAAAAACATTTATCATTAATATAATTCCGTATATTAATTCACTGAGATTGTAATTTTAATAGGAATAAGACTAATAACAGTTCCCGTAATGGAAAAGGCTGTAGAAAAGATATAGATATTCGTCAACTTGTAAACATGTGTCTGTCACTGTGTATTTGAATATACATATACGTATGCACACACGCACACACACTCATACACACATGCACAGGCACACACGAACATTAATAGATCTATTTATACATATGTATATATACATGTTTGTCTGTTTATCTCTCTCTTTGTATATATATATATATGCATCTACCTATCTATGTATTCGTGTGTGTGTGTTTATAAGCATATATGTATATAAATGCATACATACACATATATATTTGTATACATATGTAAGCATGTATGTATATATATGTGTGTGTTCATGTGTGTGTATGTGTGTATACATGTATATCTAATGTGTAATATATATACACATTTATATGTATGTGTGTAAATATATATATGTGCGTGGCTGTGAATGTCTGATTAACGTTACTGATAATCAGGTGATAAGTAGGTCTGGTAATCTCCACTAAAAAGAATTACACGAGCAATGTATTTTGCCACATTTTCATTATGCTCCATACTTTTTTCGAAATGCTATTGCAGATGCTTTTGGAATGATTGATGTTCTAAATACGGATTCTTAATAAAGTCAACCTTGATATTCAACCCTTCTCATTCATGTGATATAGATTATATGGTATACCAAAACTAGCATACGCAATATTACTCACTAAGGAACAAAATGATTTGACGAAAAACAACAAAAAACAACGACAAATGAAGCCATCTTTCTATATTATTAGGAAGATAAGGACAAAATGATTCTCTAGTGATTTAGTTAACTAAATTCAAAAATAGTTTGAAGAGTTGTGATTCTCTTTGTATTTTTCTGTTCGTAAGTCCTATTTATCACAGCCTACAAACATGCATTTCGTGATTTTTCCTATTAACGTAACCATATCCACCAGAGCGAGACGTGAGAGAGAGTGAGAGAGAGAGAGAGAGAGCGAGAAAGAGAGAGAGAGAGAGAGAGAGAGAGAGTTTGGCGTGAGTATAAAAGGCCTGAGCTCGTCTTGGGCGCCATCATTCCCTCCGCCGCCATGTCCCTCAAGGTAGGCTCGCGGACTAGCTCTCCTGGAGCTGTGAAGTGACTCGTTATTTGAATAAGAGAGAACAGGAATAATGAACAAGAAGAGTGCTTTCTATTTCTTATGAGTGTCAACTAGATTGTCAAAAGGGAAAGGAAATTTGAAATGAAAATATAACGACTGATTTCTTAAATGTTTTATTGATAGATTACTCCTAATATCCAGATCGCCGTCATCGCCTGTCTGGCTGTTGTGGCCATAGCTGATCAGTCCCCTTATCCCCCTCCACCTGCCCCCTACCACCCTCCACCACCGGCATACCACAGCGAACCACATTACCCTGATGTAAGTATATATCCTGCTTCTCCTCTCTTAATTCTGTTTTGCATTCCATTACGAATATTTTGGTATGTATAGTCTCCCTGAAAACCAAATTTCATTTCTTTTCGTCATTGCTTTTAATGAAAGAATTTACATGCATCATTTCCATGGATTACATCACAAAATCTTGAATTTTTATGATATATGATCACTCATCCTACTTTTTCGCAAACATAAATCCATTCTTGAACCAAGAGTTTAACGCTCTTTGATGCAGTCGACGCTGACGACTTTTTCCATTCTACAGGTTCCTCCCAAGTACGCCTACAACTACGGCATCTCCGACGACTACGGCGTCAACCTCGGCCACTCGGAGTCCCGCGACGGCTACAAGACCGAGGGCAGCTACACCGTCGACCTCCCCGACGGCCGCAAGCAGATCGTCAACTACGTGGACAACGGCGACGGTCTTGTAGCTGAGGTCACCTACGAGGGCGAGGCTCAGTACCCCGAGCACACGCCCTCCTACAAGCCCGCTCCCCCCGCCTACGCCCCTCCTCCCCCTGCCCCCTATGAATAATATGCATCCATTCTTTGTAAAAACAAAAATCATTTACTCGTTCTTCATCATCAAATCTGTTTTTGTTGTTACATTATTCCACAAAAAATAATAAAACGAAATTGAAAGAACAACCATTATTTCTCCAGTGTTACGTATTTCAAATATATTAATAACTTAATATTTGCAATGCAGAAGTGCATATGAATATATATAGGCTTTTTTTTGTAATCTCTGATATCCCCGAAGCTTTGACACATCCTTAAATGTGTTTGTTGAAACATCTTTCCGTTTTATAAGCCTCTCGTTTGATGCAAAGTGATATATTCTGGCCAACCAATCAGAGAGCGAAATTTTTAAATATATATCACGCACGCCTCAGTTAGGATTTATATGTTCATTAATTACGAACCGTATCGTATGTTTCTTAACTTAAAGAAAACCTAACGTGTCCGAGTCATATAAAGTGGTAGTGTGGATGAAACTTTAAAATCTCGCTATAGCATTATGATGTAACCTTAGACTCAAAAACATCAAAAGAAAGACTGTATATCATGATTTATTGATATATCACAGCACTAAAATGAGTAAATGTCTGTAATCATTAGAATTATCCTGTTGTGTGAGATTCATGGAAGTTCTCAAACGATAAGATGCAAAATTTACAGCAACATATGCTTCCAATTTCCATAATAAGAACAATGGATGTGATATTTAGAAAAAAAGATGTTCGAATATGAGAAAAGCGAAAAGTTGTGGGTCGAAGAGAAGTATCCAAGTCCTTTTTCCATGCTATTTGAAGCTTCTATAATGTTTGGTTTCTGATTAAAACCATATTGTTACATTAGATAGGTTAATGGTTTCTTTTGACATTTTATGTGAGATAAAGTCAAGTAGATTTTTTTTCTGAACTATATGGCAGAACAAATTGCAATGATAACGAGATTTGTGGCGACCACGAACCAACATCAAACAAAGCATCAAAGTGTTTGTGGTTTCGGGAGTTTACAAAAGACCTTATTTGTATATATACATGCATATGTATGCACATGTACGTGTATGTATATATATATATATATATATATATATATATATATATATATACATACACAGGCGGGAAATGTGTGTGTAAAAGAATGAAGACATACACACTTACAGACACACACACACACACACACACACACACACACACACACACACACATATATATATATATATATATATATATATATATATATATATATATATATATAGGCAGGTTATGTGTGTGTGTGTGGATATGTCTAAGTGTAGGTGCATGCATATATCTTTATACATAATATATGAGTGAAGATTTGTCGAACCCTTACCAGTATGTGATTAAAACGCCAAAAATATAGACATTTATACTTCTCCGATTTCTTTGATGTTGAAAGACACTGGATATTGCATGAACTTGATTGCAACATCAATACGCTCTCGAGTCTTCAAAAATCTTGTATCACCCTTTATGTTTTGTTTTTTTTTCTTTTTTTTTGTTTTTTTTTGAGTTTGCAGAAGTATTACTATTTTTAGTTACAATAGAATAACAAAATATCAACAAAGGCAACAACTGTGATTTTAGTGATAACATTCATCGCACTAGTCATCACCTACATTATCATGGGTATCGTTACTTTAGGCATTGTAATTTTCGCTGTCATTATTACTATTAACATAATAAAAGACACTTATCATACTATGATCAGAATGATACTACCTGTATTGCCATTAATGGTAATGATTATAGCAGTGATATATATATCATTATATATTCATATATATATATATATATATATATATATATATATATATATATATATCATTGTATGTTACCGTTACTTTTGTATACAACCTTCGCGTGGACTTCTACACACGTTTGTGTTTATGTGTGTGTAAATGTCTATGTATGTATAGACTTTGCTATATGCAAAGGTATGGACACTTCAGAGTTTTATTAACGATATAAAGTCATATAACAAAGTTGATCTCATATCAAAGTCTCTGTCACACATTTCATGATCTAAGTAAGACACACACATGTGTATGTACACACGCACACAAACACATATATGTATATATACATATAAACACACACACATATATATAGAGAGAGATATACATGGATAGATTGATTGACAGAGATTGAGAGAGAGAGAGACAGACAAAGAGAGACAGAGAAGGAGAGATATAGATGCAGATACTGTAATTTTACTTGTACATGTACAAAATGCACAAAACATGTGTGCATATTTCTCTTTCACCTTATTTCTCCCTTGTAATATTTACGTAACCATATCCACCAGAGCATGACAAAGAGAGAGTTCGGCCTGAGTATATAAAGTCTGAGCTCGTCTTCAGCGCCATCATTCTCTCCGCCGCCATGTCTCTCAAGGTAGGCTCGCGGACTAGCTGTGAAATGACTTATGTGAAGAAAGTACTCTCTCTCTTATGAAAGCAATTGGATTATCAAAAGAAATGAAACTGTAAATAAGTAGACATTAGTCAAGTAAAATTATGTGAGTGTCAATTAGATTGTCAAAAGAAAGGGAATTGTCAAGTAAATAAGAAAATATAACCATGACTATTTTTTATGCATTTAATGATATTTTTTTCCTAATCTCCAGATCACCGTCATCGCTTGCTTGGCTATTGTGGCCATAGCTGATCAGTCCCCTTACCCCCCTCCACCTGCCCCCTACCACCCTCCACCACCGGCCTACCACAGTGAACCTCATTACCCTGATGTAAGTACATCTTTCTTCTCTTCTCTATTTTCTGCATTGCATTGAATTACCAATAAGTAAGTTAACCCTCATATTCCATTATGTTTAGTTTTCATGTAAACTTATTTTCTATTCATTTTATTTAGTCATGTCCTATCGCTGAAAGAACTTAAATTTATCCTTTCCATGGATTACATCACAAAATTTGGAATTCTTATGATATATGATCACGAACATATAAATCCAATCTTGAATCAAGAGTTTAAGACTTTTTGACACAATCCATATTTATATATAACGCGACGATTTTTTTTCCATTCTACAGGTTCCTCCCAAGTACGCCTACAACTACGGTATCTCCGACGACTACGGCGCCAACTTCGGCCACTCGGAGTCCCGCGACGGCTACAAGACCGAGGGCAGCTACACCGTCGACCTCCCCGACGGCCGCAAGCAGATCGTCAACTACGTGGACAACGGCGACGGTCTTGTAGCTGAGGTCACCTACGAGGGCGAGGCTCAGTACCCCGAGCACACGCCCTCCTACAGGCCCGCTCCCCCCGCCTACGCCCCTCCTCCTCCCGCACCCTATGAATAATGTGTATTCATTCTTTGTAAAACCAAAAATCATTCACTCGCTCTTCTTCATCATCAAACATGTTTTTTTGTTGTTACATTATTCCACCAAAGATAATAAAAATAAATTGAAATGACATTGTTACTCCAGTCTTACTTATTCGAAATATATTTCCCGTAACTGAATATCTGTAGCGCAAATGAAGATATGTATATTGATACATGTAGCACACGTATATACATATGAATTATATATATAGACATATACACTCACACACACACAAACACACATATATACATACATATGTGTAAGTACAATTACTACATATCTATCCCTCTTCAGTATGAGAGAGGATACTTAATTTAACTGTAACGCGAATACGGTCGAGCTCTCAGAAATCATATCCCTTGTGTTCTTTCAACTACAAGGAAATTCTCTGGTTCAGTGATACTACTGATTATGAGGAAGATCATGGGACCTTTAGTAGTACTATGTATAACGATAATAATGACTGATAATAATGGTGAAGATAGTGATGAATATTATGACAATGGTAATAATAGCAGTAATGATAATGATAACAATGATTTTAATAATAATGACAATAGAAACAATAAAATTGATAATACTTGGAATAATGATAAAATCATGATATAAAATGGATAACAATAGTGAAAATAATCATTATGGCAATTGTGATATTAATGATTTTAATAACATTGTTAATGATGATAATTGTAATAATAACAATTATTATTAATCATCAAACCAGTTTTTGTTGTTACATTATTCCACAAAAATTATAAAATTGAACTGAAAGGATAAGAACCATTATTTCTCCAGTGTTACCTATTTCAAATATATTTCATGGAACTTAATATTTGCAACACATAATTGCATACGGATATATATAGGCCTTTTATGTAATATCTTATATACCCGAAGCTTTGACACATCCTCAAATGTGTTTGTTGAAACATCTTCCCGTTTTGTAAGCCTCTAGTTTGATATATATATATATATATATATATATATATATATATATATATATATATATACTTACACACACACACACACACACACACACACACACATACACACACACATATACATATATATATATATATGTATATATATATAATGTGTATTCATTTTTTGTAAAAACAAAAGTCATTCACTCGCTCTTCATCATCAGACCTGATTTTTGCTATATTATTCCACCAAAACTAATAAATATAAGTTTGAAAAGACAAGAATCATTTTTTTCTAAAGTGTTACTTATTCAAAATATATTTCTCGTAAATGAATATTTACAGCGCATTAGTTTATGCATTTGTTAAGGAATACACGTGGAGATATGTATGTAGATACACGTAGCATTTATATATATATATACATATATTCCTATATGCATATGAATATATATATATATATATATATATATATATATATATATATATATATATATGCATATACATATATATGTGTGTTTAAGTATAATTACTACATATCTACCCCCGAAACAGTATGAGAGAATAATTAACGATCGAGTTCTCAGAAATCACACATCATCCCTTGTGTTCTTTCAACTACACGGAGATTCTCAGTGATGCTAATACTAATAATAAAGAACATGGGACTTTAGTAGTACTGTGTATAGTGATAATTATAACAATGATAATGAGGACAGAGATAAAAACTATGATAATGATAACAATAGCAGTAATGATGGCAATAGTTTTAATAATAAAGGTAATAGAAACAATAAAATTGATAATAACAATAAACAACAATAATAAAAAATAGCATAACAATGATAGTAATGATAATGACAATGATAATAATGACTGTCGATTATGATAATAAAGGCCACAACATACAAGAGCAATGGAAATGGCTGTAATAATAACATTAATAGTCCTAGCACGCTATCGATGACTATACGTGAACTGGTACACATGTCTGCCATTGTGCATGTAGATATACATACATGTATGCACACACACACATACGTTCACTCTCATCCATGCATATATACGTACAAGCACATACTCGCGGATATATATGTATATACATATCTATCTATCTATATATCTATCTGTATACATATACTTATATCTATCTATTTATCTATCTACCTGTATATATATGTTTCTGTGTGTATGTGTATATGTATATATATATCTGTGTGTGTGTGTGTGTGTGTGTGCATGTGTATATATATATATATATATATATATATATATATATATATATATATATATATATCCGTGTGTGTGTGTGTGTGAGTATAAGCGTGTGTGTGTATTGCAGATGTTTTGGGTAATGATTGTTGGTCTAAATACGAATTCTTAATCAACTTTCATATAACCCTTCACATTCATGTGATATAGATTTTTATGATATAATTCTGTCTCGCAAATACAATATTACTCACTTAGGAACAAAAAGAATGGATGGACGAACAACAACAACAACAAACAACCAAAACCTTGTCAAATTATTTGGTTAACCAGTTTTAAAAGAAAGTTAAAGAGTTGTCATTCTCTTCATAATTTTAATAATAGCAATCTATATATATGCACTTAATGACTGTTTTTTTTCTAAATACTCTTAATCAGTCAACCTTCATATACCTAATCCTTCTCATTCATGTGATATAGATTTTATGATATACCAATAACTAGCATACACAATATTACTCACTTAGTAAATCAATTAACGGACGAAAAACATATGAAATGATCTTTCTAAATGATTGGCAAGATAAAAAAAAAAACTGTGATTTGTGGTTCTCTTCGTATTTATCTATTCGTAAATCCTATTTCTCAATCTGTATACATGCATTTTCTCCTTATTTCTCTCTTGAAATATCCACGTAACCATATCCACTAGAGCATGACAAAGAGAGAGTCCGGGCCTGAGTATATAAAGGTCTGAGATCGTCTTCAGCGCCATCATTCCCTCCGCCGCCATGTCTCTCAAGGTAGGCTCGCGGACTAGCTCTCCTGATGCTGTGAAATGACTCGTTATTTGAACAAGAGAAAGAATTAATGAATATGAACAGCGCTGTCTGTTTTTTTTTTTTTTTTTTTTTTTTTTTTTTTTTTGCGAGTGTCAACTAGAATGTCAAAAGAAAGGGAAAGAGAAAGGAAGGTGTCAAGTGAGATAAGAAAATGTAACCACGAATTTCATCTTATTTCCAGATCGCCGTCATCGCCTGCCTGGCTATTGTGGCCATAGCTGATCAGTCCCCTTATCCCCCTCCACCTGCCCCCTACCACCCTCCACCACCGGCCTACCACAGCGAACCACATTACCCTGATGTAAGTATATCCTGCTTCTTACCAATAAGTTAATCTTGATATTTTATTATGTATAGTGTTCATGAGACCCGGATTTCATTTTGTCCTGTCCTTTCAGTGAATTAATTTACTTGCATCATTTCCACGGAATACATCTCAAAATCTGGAGTTATGATATATGATCATTCATTCTACTTTTTCGTATATATAAATCCAATCTTGAAAACAGTCCGTCTGTATGTATGACGTTGATGACTTCTTTTGCCGTTCTACAGGTTCCTCCCAAGTACGCCTACAACTACGGCATCTCCGACGACTACGGCGTCAACCTCGGCCACTCGGAGTCCCGCGACGGCTACAAGACCGAGGGCAGCTACACCGTCGACCTCCCCGACGGCCGCAAGCAGATCGTCAACTACGTGGACAACGGCGACGGTCTCGTAGCTGAGGTCACCTACGAGGGCGAGGCTCGGTACCCCGAGCACACGCCCTCCTACAGGCCCGCTCCCCCCGCCTACGCCCCTCCTCCCCCTGCGCCCTATGAATAATCTGTATCCATACTTTGTAAAAACAAAATCATTCACTCGTTCGTCTTCATCATCAAACTTGTTTTTATTGTTACATTATTCTACCAAAGATAATAAAAATTTATTGAAAGGACAGCAACCTTTATTTCTCCAGTGTTACCTATTCCAAATATAGTTCTTGTAACTAAATACTCCCAGCACACAAGTGCGTATATATGTGGATAGATATTCAGCTGCAGATATGTATGAATATACGTATAGCACACGTGTATGTATATGAATATATAGGCCTTTTTGTAATACCTTCTATACCCCCAAAAGTTTGACACATCCTCAAACATTCCTGTTACGTGTTGAAAAGTCTTTTCGTTCGTATCTCTAAAATCTCACTGTATAATTATGATGTAACCTTAGAATCACAAAAAAAAGGAAAAAAAACATTAAAAGAAGGGCTGTATATCTCGATTTATTGATATATAGTAGAACTAAGATAAATAATATCTGTTATCATTAGAATTATCCTGTTGTGTGAGATTCATGGAGCTTCTCGCGGTGGATACGATAAGATGCAAAACTTATAGCAACATATTTTTTTCCCACTTTCCATAATAAGAACAATGAATGAGATATGTAGAAAAAAATGTTTGTTTGAACCTGAGAAGTACAATTGAGAGTTTCAACAGCCTTACGGAGCGAAAAGTTGTGTGTTGGCGAGTAGTCAAGTATTCTTTCCATTTTATTTGAAGCTTCTATAATGTTAGGTTTCTGATTACAATCATACTCTTCCATCAAATAGGTTAATGGTTTTCTAGTGACTTTTTATGTGAAATGAAGTTTTTTTTCTAAACTATATGAACAAAGTCTGAAGATACCGAGACTTGTTGCGATCACGAACCAACATCAAACTATGTATCAAACTTTTTTGGTTTTGGGAAGCTACAAAAATACCTTGTTTATATGTATGCATGTAGGTGTTTATGTGTAAATATATATACATATATATATATGTGTGTGTGTGTGTGTGTGTGTGTGTGTATACATATATATATATATATATATATATATATATATATATATATATATATATATATATATATGTTCACATATATACACATACATACACGAACATACATATATGTTTTCACACACACACACAATAGGGAATATGTGTGTGTAAAAAATATTAACACATATGTATGTGGATATGTATGTGTGCAGGTGCATGCATATATCTGTATACATACTATAGAGTGCAGTGTTATCCGACCCTAAAATTGTATTATTAAACCGACAAAAAAGTAGACATTAACACTTAACACTTCTCCAGTTCTTTTTATATTGAAAGACTGAATACGATATACAAAGGGCCATAGGTAAAACCCGGCTAAAGCTAACCTTCGCGAAATGCACTCAACTGAACTAAAGTCACAGGTATATCTCCATTATTCTCGTCCCTCTGTTCAGTATAAGAAAGGATTCATTTACGTGAAATTGGTTGCAAAGTCAATACTCTCTCGAGTTCTCAGAAATAATATATGAACCCTAATGTTCTTTGAGTTACATGATTTTTTTATTGTTGAGAAATTAAAAATAAGATATTCGTAGATATAATACTA